AAAAGAGGAGAGCTCTGCTTTCAAAAATATTTCTGTCAGCATTGAAAATTACCCAAATGTATCATAGAATGCTTAAGCGAACTAAAAGATTATTTAAATGAGCAACTATTATGTATTTATTTAAGTTACTTAAAAGAAACAAGTAAAATGCTTCTGATGGTGTTGTATGAAAAACATATTTAAAAGTATATTATATAACATTCTGAGAGGAAAAAAAGTGTAAATATCTAGAAGGAAACAGGCAAAATATCAACAAGAATTGTCTTTGGGAAGTGGATCATAGATAATTATTTTTATACGCTATTTACTAAAAATCTTCTAAGATTTTTGCAGTGAACATTTATTTTATAATGAGGGTGAAAGTAAACATGATTATATATATGTATAAATATATAAATTTAAAATATATTTTAAAAATAAATTTAAAATAAATACATATATTTACACATATAAATTTAAAATAGAAAGCGTTCCAAACACTGCCCTTCTCAGAAAGCAGTTGGCTATTTAGAGGCTCTAAGAATTGACCCTCTCTGGACCCTTCCATCTGATAGCCTAATAACACTTTTAACAACAATTTGGATACTGTTTCAAAGAGTTCTCTGATCCCTCCATGTTCCCAGCCAACTGGACAGTGGGTCTGGCAGATGTAATTATTAATTCTCTCTGGTGACAGCATCTCAGGACTCAGGCAGTGGAAGCTCACTCTCATTCCTTTGTGACTGAAGAAGGGCTTTTATTTGGAGTCATCAGAAGTAAGGATTGACTTTTGAGAGACATAGATATTCACAGAAAAGGCAGAGCTGGGGGAGATGGAGGCACATCAAATTATGGTTACAAGACACTTGGGATTGGGACAGGACATTTGGGGGCAGGAGGTTATGCTCCTTTGGTAAGCTGCTTGTTCACCAAAACCTACCATTTGCCATACTCAGCAAGCATCTGGCTCCTCTAGCCTCAAGACAATGTGTCACTCCATTGTTTCCCTGTGGCCTTGCACCAAGAGAGCACCCAGGCAGCAGAGTCAAAAAGATGCCCCTTTCCGATGTGCTAAAATAGCAACTTCCCTTTACTGTCAGGACCCACCAAACCCTAATTCTCAGGTGAGCTGGTTATGGCTCTCCAAATTCTTGATACTGCCTAGTTTGGACATTTGTGACAAACTAAACTAAATCAAGGCCTCAATACACTGATTGTCAAGGTCATGAAAAATAAGGAAAGACTAAGACAATGTCACAGACCAGAGGAGACTAGGGAGACAAGAGGACTAAATACAATATGGTGTCCTGGATGGGATCGTAGAACAGGCAGGGCATTAATGGAAAAACTGGTGATATCCAAATAGTTTGGAGTTTAATCGATAGTAATACACAAACATCAGTTTCTTAGTTTTGACAAACATACCATAGTAACATAAGATGTTAATAAAGTGGGAAACTGGACGAGGGGTATATGGATAGTCTCTGTACTATCTTTGAAACTTTTCTGTAAATCTAAAGTTATTTCAAAATTAAAAGTTTATTAAGAAAAAAATCAAGGCTTCCAAAGAGAACTAAGATGATGAATGCTAATTGTTATTAGACTCACTGATATTAGGCTCATCAGAAATCTCAGTGAAATGTGAGAGAGAGTGTTGAATTAGAGTTCTTTTTCTGACTATGCCAAAACTGACTGATTGGAAGTCCACTGTACTATTTAATACTAAAAGAACAGGAAACGACTTGATGCAAAACTCCCTGCTCTTTTCAGTGGGAACCTGGGTAAGTCACTTAAATTCAGAGAACTTCAGTTTCCTCATCTGTAAAATGTGAATAACACCTGTTTGACAGACTTGTTCCAAGTATCATATGAAGTAAGCATCATGAGGGGGGGAGGTAGTTCATTCCCTGCTACATCCTCCACGCCTAAGACAATGCCTAGCATAAAGTAGCTACTTGACACGTTTGTTACCTGAGTGAACATATGAAGAGAATTCAAAATGGCATCCCACGTCAATATATGTTGTTATTAATAGCAATATCAAAATCTTATTAATCCTTTGACAATAACTTGAAACACAGGAAGAGATAAATACATTATGATATATGAAAATGAAACACTACAAAGCAATTAAAATAACTAAATTAGATTGAGGTGTATCACCATGACTAGAGTTCAACATAACCATGAATAAAAAATGTAAGTTACGGAACAATATACATAGTATGATATTATTCATGAAAAATCTTTGCAAATATACAAAAGGTTGCTATATACAGTTTGTAGATACTGATTTATGTGGTGAAAAAAATCAGCAAAGTGGTCATCTTGGGAAAAGAGCACAGTGACTGAGGACAGACCACTGTCCATCCCTTCTGAGGCACGGTTAGGTCGTAGAATCAAAGAGCCTCTGGCTTTCAAACAATGTGACTACTGATAATTCCAAGATTGAGGTTAGCTGGCCCATTAGTCATATTGATTATCTGCTACTAGGTTATTTAGTTGCTAAAGAACACACAAAGAAGTACAAATTAAAATAGCATAATTTAGAAAAATCTGCCATGGGAGTACTGGTTGTAAATTGCATGCTTGCAATTGGTTGGTGCAATGATTCTTAAAGTGGGGTTCCAGACCCAGCAGCATCAAAATCACCTGGGAACTTGATAAAAGTGCAAATTCTTGGTGCCCCCCACCTCCAGACCTACTGAATTCTGAACTCTGGGAGTGGGACCTAGCAACGGGTATTTTAACAAGCCCTGCAGGTGATTCTGATGCTTACTCCAGAGGACAACCACTGGCTTAGCAGGGTCTGCCGAGGAGGGTTCTTGTACTGCTGAGCCTGACTAAGCCCCTTTATCGCTGACTTAGTTTTTTCATCTCTTAAAATATGGATAAAGTCCAAATGATCTCTAAATTCTTTTCCAATTCTACAAGTTTATGACCATACACCAATTTATAAGATTATAAGGTTAACTTCTAATACATACTTTCTCAATTTGGAGAACGTGAGGCCAGAGATCACTGTCTATACTCCTTACTATCCTCCCGCTGGCTGGCTCTGTGGCACAGCTACTCCAAACCATCCATAACCTGGTTCTCCCTTGCCCTCCTCTACTGTTGAGACTGTAAAGCACAAACACGCTCTCGCTCCACTTCCTTGCAGCTAAGTACGTCCATGCGAAACAGTTCTGGCTACTGAGATGTGAGTGACTGGCTACTGAGATGTGAGTGAGAGGGCTTCACTTCCTAAATATAAAACATAGTCTAGAGGGAAGAAGGCCCGTCACAGGTAGCACTTCTGTGTAGCAGCCTTCTTGCAAACATGAAGATGGCAGTCACATAGGAAGGAGGGACGCCCGGGAAGTCTCTGATGTCATCCTGGCATGGCTGTGGCAGCTCTACTCTGCCTCCTTCGGAACTCAAAAACCCCCATCTCTCCAAGCCACGACATGGCTCTTCTGTCACTCCAGCTGAATGCGTTCCTGACTGACGTGCCCAGCACACGCTGGGCTCTAAGGAACACTTGTGTATGATGACAAGGAGAAGGAAGGGGAAGAGGAAGTGGGGGAGGAGGGAGAAATGAGGCAGCAGGACGAAGAGGATTAAAGAGAGCCAGGTGGGTTTGCTGAGGACGGGACGCCTACAAGGAGTCAGTTTTGAGCAAGTTTGTAAAGCAAGAAAAGGCCTAGAAGAGAGGAAAATGAAGGCGTGCCAAACCTGTATTTATACAAGAAACTTTATTATATCCATTAAAACACGGGTTTGATGTGCTGGTTATACATATTTTAATGCACACTAAAATGAATTCATGACTATTAAAATAAAAAAGTATATATTGGTCCATGTGCACCAAAAGCCATCTTGGGAACCAAGAGAGGTTTGCCTGGCACTCATGGGGAGCACTGGACTTATGCAAATTCCCGGCCAGAGGGTTTGCTGCTTTAGGTCTGAAATAGCAAAACATAAGCTAGAAAGATCCAAATCAAAGATTGCTTGAACTTAGCAGGAACTAATACCTCTCGAAGAGCGTATTCTGGACCAAGCTGAAGGTCTTTATGTCTATTCTCTTTATTTCCCTAAGGTATACCAAATTCCTTGGCTAACCTCAAGCATACAAGGAAATATAACGAACACGAAGAGGGAAGAATCGCTCCCGCTCCAGCCTTGGGAGGGTTCCCGTGACCTCTAATCCCCCTGGACATTTATTTTATACCCATAGCAGGGTTCTGTGGGTATTTTAATGTGCCTTTGCTATATGTTGCGATATAGTCCTGTAGCAAGGCACATTTTTAAAAAAATGCCTTTTGGTGTTCTGGGAGCTTTCATTTTCAAGCCATTCCCTTCTTTCTCATTCTGCTCTCACAACTTCTTTTCTCTTTTCAACTACCTCCCTCCAGCAGAGAGGCACAGACGGTCCTCTCATTTTGTTTGTGGAGAGGCCATTACAGACACACCAGCTAAGATGATCTGCCTCTCATCTTCCTTTTGCTCCCCTCATCCCAGCAGCAATTTTTGCATTTCTGCCCGTAGGCAGGACAGAAATGCTTCCTGTCCCCCCTTAAGCCCTTCCCCAACCCCCAGCCCTCAGGCACATCTCGGCTGGCATGGCCAGCACCAAGCCTGACACGTCTTTATAGCGCTTGTCAACGGCACCCTCTGAAGGGCACATCGCAGCCTTGGTCCAGCTTTTTGGAATCTTGAGCAGTGAGCCCACCTTTGCCACCTCCCCCTGAATGCAAAGCCTGGAGCCTGTTTGTCTACCACCCACAGCTGCTGGGCTGCGCCATCTATGCATGGGGCATGGGAGGCAGCTTGCCAGCAGTCTCCATGGAGAAGGGCAGAGGTCACAGGGAAGCCACTGAGAGACATGCCAACACATCAAAAGATGCTCAAGGTTGACAGGGATCACTTTCCTTTCTCAAAGTGGAAGAAAAAAATAAAATCTTTATAGTAGGAGCTAGATCAAGGGGGAGGGAGAGGCGGAATGGGAGGGTGAGAATGACATCTGTGTCAACTGTTTATTTTGGTGATTGTCTGCAAGTTGCAGGCAACATGGCTGAGCAAAGCTGTCATGGAAACACGATTTCATCGCAGATGACAAGTTGGCATAAAGACAATGTAGGTGGAAAAGAGGTAAGGGAAACAAAACTACCTGTCAGGCAGGCGGCGGGAGGAAGAAAATCTACCCTCATATACTTTCCCGTAATTAAATGTCAGATGTACACAATGCAGTAAAATAATTAGCATGGCATAATTACTGTTCAGATGGAGTCCCATGTACATGCCAAACAAATTGCTGTACTCGAGCACAAGCTGTTAAAACAACTTGAGTTACTTAATTTTTACATGTAGCAGCCTGTTTTATCATTTCCGAAGATGCAAATGTTTCATTAATAATGCAGTCTTTCTAAGTGTGCAAAGCTCTGGGCCACCGCAACCGAAGATCCATTGGTCTCTCTCTAGAGGTGTGGGAGACAAAAATCAACTGATCGCCCTCTCTCCACACTCGACCCTCCAATCTTTTCTCCACGTAGTGGCCAAGGGGATATTTTAAAGCCATAAATCAGATCATGTCACATACCTGCTTTAAGATCCTTCATGGTCACACTGACCTTAGACTAAGTCCAAAGGCTGAAAGAAGTGGGCTCCTATGTCTCTGCGACCACCTAGGGCCTCTCTCCCCATCACTGTGCTGCAGCCGCCCTGGCTTTCTTTCAGTTCGCGTTCAATTCTTTGACCCAAAGTCTTCAAACTCGCGGCTCCCTTTGCTCAAAACACTCCTCCTCCACCCCTCCATCTCCCCTCCTCCCCTCACCTGCCCCTCCATAGTTGCCTGATTCTCTTGACTTCAATTTTGCATCCTCAGGGAGATCCTTCCTGACCCCCCTATAAAAAGTGGGCCCCGGCCCTCCCTGCCCCCCGCTGGGCTCTCCTAGAGCTCTCAGCTTTGCTTCCCTATAGCACATTTTGTACTATAATTTTATATGTCAGTTTGTGTCTTTATTTGTTTAATGTCCACCTCCCCCACGAGACTCTAAGCATCTGGAGGGTAGAGATCAGCCGTTTTGCTCCCCACTATATACCCAGTGCCTAAGGCAGTTTCTGGCATAGGGGAGCTGCTCAACAATTACACGTGGATTACGCGCAACTCTGGGTAAGTCATCTCCCTTCACCATGTATCTGCCTTCTCTACCAAATGAAAGCGAGGACTAGATCAGTGTTCTTTCAACCTGTGGGTGGTTATCTATTTCTGGGTTCATGAGACCAATTCAGTGGTTGTCAAGACTAATATTTTCAAAACATGAAAGAGCATAGAAACTACCAGAAACATAGAAACAATACTTACCCTCAGCACCAGTGATACCAGAAGGGTAAGTATTATTTCATGACAGTCTTCTTTCAGTGTTTGTATAGTTACACGCATTTGTTTACCTGGTCATGATGTAACCTATATGTATCCCTTTCTGTGGGGCATAGACAAAAAAGTCAGAAAGTTTTAAAAACATTGGAAGCTGGAGGAGGACAGGACTAGGCAACCTCTAGGATCCCTAAGCCGGCTCCCAGCCTTGGTCTTCTTGGATCCCTCTCCCACTCCCCCTTCACCACCTGGGGTGGGCTGGGAAGGTCTTTCTAAATGGGACAGAAGCTCTCTTTGCCTCCCAGAGACTGAGAGACTTGAAGCAACAGCCTTGGCCCAGGGGAAAGCATGTCACACTCAGTCCTGCTTCTACCCCCTTAACAGTGTAGTCTTCTGTGTCCCAAAAAGGGAAAGACAATCGCCTCCTTCTCAACCCCGCTTCCTCCCAGGACAGTGTCCTCAACATAAAGAAATGGGTCAGAATGCCAGACAGGGAGAACTAGAAACAGCTGACTGTCAATCTTCCTGTCACATGGGGAGGAGCTAGTCCGGACATCACAGTCAGAACCCAGGTCCCAGGGGCAGGGGGACCCCTTCCACAGAGCAGTCCCCCAAAGTGGCAGACTTCTCCGTGGTTAACAGTGATTAGGAAACATTAGGAAAAAATGGCACGAAACATGAGATGGAAACATCAGTGGCGAACAAAAAGACTCCTATATAAAAGGGAGTCAGTGGGCATCGCCTCCTCTAGGGGCTTGCTACTTTTCCCAACATCTTCTCCAAAACCCCTGCCACCAAGCCCTGCCTGCTCCCTGCCAACAAAACAGAGCTGCCCCTCTGCTCTGGCTAGAGTTGGGGAGTCATGGCCAGAACTTTGCTCTAACCTGTCCTATGCCCTGGACGATCACATGACCACCTTCATTCCTGAGATGGCAGGAAATGGCAGTCCAATCATGGGTCAGACTGGACCATGTGTCAACAACGCTGTGGGGGGAATTGCTCATTCGACCATCCTGGAGGCTAAACTTGGTGACTCTCAGCCCCTTCTTTTAACTCCTAAAAACAAGCCTAACCCTCGAGTCTGGGCCTGGGCTCAGCTTTCCCATCTGGAGAATGGGCCAGGGTATTTTTCTGGCTACAAGGAGGTGATATGTACACGCATGCGTGTGTGTGTCTATGTGTGTGTGTCTACATGTATGTGCATTTATACACATATTTACATAGATTATATACATATATTTGAGAGTTGAGCCATTACAGTCTAAAGACTCCATCTTGGGGACCCAGGACCCACTTTTGCTTTTAGGCCTCTGTACCTCAAATCCTAACCACTCATTTGTCTCTTACCCAGAAAGCCTCACCGAAGGACATGATTATTCATGAGTTCCACAGCTTCTGACTCCATGATAACTTCTCTTGTCAGGTCTACAGATTACTCAGATTCAGATGATCGGGCCTTTCAAATGGGATCAGGAGCCTATTTCACCTCTCCCAGCCCTAGGGATGTGTTAGGAACTTAACAGAACAACATTTACTCATTGAATTAATTCAAATGTATGTCCTCTCTCTCTCTCTCTCTCTCTCTCTCTCTCTCTCTCTCTCTCACACACACACACACATACACACACACAGAGCAAAACATCCTGCTTCAAAGCAGGAGGGAGGAGAAGGGTATCTATTTCTGGCAAGCTCCTCAAGGAGGCCTCAGGGGCTGGTAACTTTCTCCCCTCCCCTTCTCCGATCCATCCAAGTCTCTCCTGTCATTAGCCCACCCTGGATCTCAGACCACCCTCTCTGCTCAGCTCCTGGCCAGGACACCCTCCTGCCAGGGGCTTTTCCTGGCTTGCTCCCGTGACCCATGTCCTCTAAACAGCCTCTAGCTGAGGTGGCTCTGACTCCAGGAGACCTGGGGAAAGACAGCTCTGATTACTTTTAAACTGTCTCACTTGGCACCACACAGCACCATTAATAAAGAGCCTCACATCCTTACCTTGCTCCCATCCAGAAGGCTAGGCTGACCAACTGCCCCAATTTGCCCAGGACTGAGGGGGTTCCCAGGATGTGGGACTTTCGGTGCCAAATTGGGAAAGTCCTGGGCAAAGCAAGATGAATTGGTTGCACTACAGAAGCCTAAAGTCTGGTCTTGCCCCTTGGGCTCCTCTCATGACCTTTAACCTTATTTCCAACCTCCTAAGCCCATGTCTCAGCTATCTCCAGTTTACCGGTTCCTACCTGGCCCTCGTCTGGGACACATGAGTTAACAGGGGAGGAAGTATAAGTCATGCGAGACCAAAGTGTCTAGAGATAGATGCCTGGGTTTGACTCCTGGCTCCACACAGCTGTGGGCCAATTACATAAACACTCCAGGCCTCAGTTTTCTCATCTGGAAAATGGGCCTATTAATTGTACATACAGTAGTAGATGTTGTTGGTGCCCCACCCAGTTCCCTCTTACTGTCCCCCAGCTGCCCTGAGGTTTGGCTGCTAACAGCTCAAAGCTGCCCTTGGTATCCTTTTTTTTCTAATTATTGAGATATAATTGACATGTAACATTGCATAACTTTAAGGTGTACAATCTGTTGATTTGATACATTTATATTTTGCAATATTATCACCAAAAAAAGTAGTATACAAAAGCTGCCTTTGGAATATGGGAGTTGCCCTCTCAGAAATGCATAGGAAGTTATGCCCCACCCTCTCCTGGGAGGTGTGACCTACAGCCAGTGACTGATTAGCACAGGAGTACAGGAGCCCAGCCCCCTCGCCTCCATGAGAACAGGTCTGTGGTGCCATTCACACGCCAGCACCCCTGGGACCAGGCTGAGGCTAGACTACCTGCAGCCACATCTCTGCTTGGCTTCCTCCCTGTCCTATCCTGCTTCCCTCACTTCCTTAAGGTTTTCTCCTTGAACCTTTTTCAACAAATCACTTGCCCAAGAACCCCTGGCTCAGGCTCTGCTCCTCAGGAGCATGAGCTAAGACACCTGCTTCCAGAGTTGTTGAAAAGGTTGAATGAGATTGTGCACATCAAAGGCTTACTTCAGAGCCTCGCCCATAGTGAGTTCCCATATTGTGGCTGCTCTGTCCTGACCCCTGTGACTTAGTCTTGTCCCATGGAACTGTAGGTCTGGCCCTCCCCACATCCCTCCCTGTGGCACCACACATGCTATAGAATGTCCTTATGCATGACACACTTGCACGGGCATGCCCAGGGTGGGGGGGTCTCCCTGCTGTTACACAATCCCTGACTTGCAAGTCAAGAAAGTACTTCAGAATGGAAATGGCCGTAAGTGACATTGTTACAGGGGAGATTGTTCTAATTCTTAAAGTAACCATTTGAAGGTTTCAGTAGTATCATAAGTAACAGGTTTCTTAGGACTGATGGCAGTTGAGAACTGCTGCCTACATCCAGCCTTCACGGTCCCAGCTCTTCCTGGAAGGAAGACCTGCCCCAGGCCCATGCCCTCTTTTAATCCACTTCCCAAAGAGATCACCGACAGAAGGGTCCTCCTCTCGTTTTTCACTAGCAAGCCCTGTCTCAAGTCCAGGGATGAGTTTTCTCCCTGGTGTAGTGGCTTCTCCCTGGGTGTCACTGCCCAGGGCTGTGAGGGCATCAGCCTTTGATGCAGGACACCTCGATTAAAACCCCAAAGTTGGGGCCGGCCCAGCGGCACAAGCAGTTAAGTGCGCGCGCTCCGCTGCGGCGGCCTGGGGTTCGCCAGTTCGGATCCCAGGCATGCACCGTCGCACTGCTTGGCAAGCCATGTGTGGCGGCGTCCCATATAAAGTGGAGGAAGATGGGCATGGATGTTAGCCCAGGGCCAGTCTTCCTCAGTAAAAAAGGAGGAGGATTGGCAGATGTTAGCACAGGGCTGATCTCCTCACAAAAAAAAAAAAACCCAAAGTTGTAGGGAGGGAGCCTTTCCTGTGTACCCAAGCACTGTGCTGTTAGAAGGGAGACAGAACTATAGAAGAAATCGAGGGTTCAGTCCTTGTCCTCGAGAAACTTAGGGCAGGCAAAAGGATCCAAGAATCACCAGGTGGATATCGAAAGAGAAAAACAATGATTAACAAGATCCAACCTTTACTGAGCGCTTATTATGCACGAGGTGTTTTGCTAACCGCTTTGCACGCATGACGTTATTCAATCCTTACAGTTCTTCTATCATCCTCCTCCTCAACTCCCAGAGGGATAGATGAGACCAAGAGGGCCGGGAGCTTGCCTGGGGTGTTCCTCTAGCCGGCAAGAACAGGATGCATCCCAGGCAGCCTGATTCTGGGCCCAGGCCTTCAGCTACTAAGCTCTACTCCTCCTAGCACTAGCCCAACCCCCAGGGGCTTCCAGCTGAGTGGTCAGAACAAATGTGAGTGTAAGGAACAGAACTCCAGCAGAAGTGGAGTGAGTGAAATACACCGGGAAATAGTGAGTGATGGGGACAACACACAGCACTGGCAGCATCAGACAGTGCCAAGCCAGAGACTGAAGTACTCATGGGAAAAGTGGGGGCTCCTTTCCATGCCTCTTGTCAGCAGTTCGTAACCCCCTCCATCCCTGCCAAAACAACGAAGAATGCTACAGGGGAAGGCAATCTATCTGCCGGCGTCCCGGGGACCTGCTCCTTGCCAAATACCCTCCCGAGCAAATATTGATACATTAACCACAGCTCAAACACTGAGTGCAGCGAGCGTGCCTCAGCAGGGAGGGGGCGGCTGGCCCGCTGCCATCCCCCTACAGCCCTCGTCCGAGCCAGAAATGGGGTCTCCTGCCTGGTGGAAGAATCTGCAGGGCCCTTGAACCAGGGCTGGCTGGGAAGCAGGAGTCCAGGGGATGCTGAGAACCCCTCAATGATGGGGAAGTGGCATAGACATGCGGGGGACGGAGCCAAAGTCTGTTCAGAAAGAGCTGCAGGAACTGCCATCACCTCCTCCTGCAGGCTTCAGGGATGTGCAAACCAGGCCAGGAGCAGGGACCTGGGGAACAAAGATCTCAAGAGATATGATAATGGTGCCCATGTCTAAACAGAGACCCAGCAATGAGGTCTGCTGGTTACCATCACAGAGCTCTTATTTATATTTATATACAGATAGTAATAAAAACTAGAAACCTGTTTTACGTCTTTCCCTTGTTATTCCTTCCATCATTGAAGGCAAGACGGGAACTTCATTTCTCAGATTTAAAGTGAAAATATTTAATTAATTAGATCAGAAAATGTCAGAGCTGGAAGAGACACAAGACACCCCTTCATCCAAACTCTCATTTTAATGACAAGGAGACCGAGACCCAGGGAGGTGAACTAATTTGACCAAGTTCCAGCTAGCAAAGGGCAAGCCCAGAACAGGACCCAGGCTTCCTATCTCCTGTAGCATAAAACTCCTGGCCCCTCACCACCACTCCCTCCCTCAGATATCACTGCCAGTTTCCAGAGGTGGCCATTGTGTCTTCTCAGCTTTGAGTGGGTATAGGAAAGGTGAGGGGGGTGGAGAGATGAGGGGAGAGGGGTAACAGGCGGAGTGGGGCACGCATGGGTCTCTAGTCTCATATGAAAGAAGTCGGGCATGCCCAGGTGGTATTCAGTAAGAACGTCAGACAAGCAGGAACAATCCTCGGAGCCCACTCTTGTTAACTGGAAGTTGCTGCCTGGAGCACTGTGTCGAGAAAGATTCTGAGGCATCTCCCAGGCTCTGTAAGTTAGCGTTTTGGATCTATTTGTGATGTCGGCCATGGGCACAGGGTGCGAGTCTCAACAAATATGTCAATTATTTGCCATCCTTCCTAAATGTATAAGGATAATGATGATGCTTGAGGCTGTAATCTTTCCTTCCCAAGAAACCCTTCCAGGTCCCTCCCAGGAGAAAACAGGACATTCTATGCAGAATGCCAAGTACTTAATAGCAGCTTAATAAATACATTCATTGGAAGAAAGAAAGGAAGGGAGGGAGAAAGGGAGAGAGAAGGGAAGGATGCAGGCAGGATATCCCTGGCATCTCCTAGAGTTTTATCGCCTTGAAAAACTCCACCTTCACTCCTGGGCTTCTCTTCCCCATGGCAAGGCTGCTATCGGAAGACCTCCAAGAACTGTTTCGTCCACTAGGGGCCAAAGTTCACTTAGCAACTCCTGAAGCACCAGTCGGTCCTGGGTAAGAAATCCAGAGCCCACTCACTTCACAGAGACCCTGGAGTTTGCCCTCCTTCCTTCCAAGAGCAAACCTTCCAACAGAGGCCCACCTCCACCTGGAGCTGTGGCAACCACAAAGATCAGGAGGAAGAGAAGGCAGGCGAGGGTGAGGGGCAACCGGGAGAGCAATGTGGGGCAGTTCTTCCAGGGTTAAAAGAGGGACAGTCCACCCACGCTCCTCCCCCACTCACAAAATCAGTGGTTCCCCACTGCCTTCTAAATCAGGTATAAAACCCTTTGGATCTGGCCACCACCCTCCGGCAGGACCCTATCCTTGAATCGACCTCCCTCTCCAACTTGATCCTCTTGCAATATCCTAAATAACCCCAACTTTTCCCCTTCACTACAAATTTTACTCATGTTTTCTCCTTCCTTTTTGTTCTGTATTGGTCAGAATCTGACCCATCCTTCAAGACTCAGCTCAATGCTCTCTGCTCCAAGAAGACTTCACTATTCCCTTGGGTCGCAATCTCCCTCTCTCTCTCTCTTACACACACACACAAACACACATTCAAATAAAAATAGACCCAGATCTATCCCAATTCCATCCCCCAAATCATAGAACTGTACACAAAGATATGCTGCCTGCTATACTATCAAATAAACAAACAAAAGCAAAAAGAAACTAAAAAAATATCCACTGCCACAAAGCTGATTTTAGGATCTCAAATTCCTCCACCCTAGCCCTCTCTCCTTTAGAAAAAGTTTTGTCCAGGCCACAGAGACCTTAAAGAAATTTTTTTTTAGTAAAGTCAGGTCATAAGTGTGCATAATTCCGTGGTGAGTGCCCGTCCATTACGTCGTCACTGTGAATATAAGCTAAAACTTAACCAGTTAACTTTATTTATACTCTGGATGGAGCCTTTTCTTTTAATAAAACAGAATCCGTTAAGGATTATAAACAAACAGTGTTTTATGAACTAAAACTGCATTGCACTAGTCACTCAAGGGCAAAAATTGGGCTCTGGGAGGCTCAGCCAGCTATAAATAAAGATAAGGCCCTGCCAGGCATGGGCTTGGGCAGAGTAATTGCTGACTCTGTAATCAGCTTCTCCCCTCCTCCTTCAGGCCCACAAATCACTTGGGTGTTGGGTCACTGCCCACCAGATTCAGCCCAGAGACAAAGAAATGTCAAAGCAGTTCATTAGCTCTGAGACTGAGTGTGAACTGGGACTTACGAAACATCTAGGTCCCAAGTCACACTACGGTGCACTAATCCTCAAAGCCCACATGGGTGGGCTCATGAGTGGATGAGTCAGGCCAAGAGGACCAGCATTTAAGTGTGTGTTACCCTCTGGACACGGGCCCTAATCAGGGGGTGTGTGCTAAACCACTCCACCTTCTATGGGAGACCCTGCTCCCACCCCTAACACCCACCTCTCAATCCAATCATGTGGTGGGGGCTGCCAATCACCCCAGCTCAGATCCTGGGGCCGTAGTAATTGGTCCACATGATGGGTGTATAGGCCAAGCAGAGCCAATGAGAGTCCACACGGGGGTTGTTCAAATTGGAGCTGGAACAGAACATCCCTTTCTAGGTTGGTTACTGGATGGAAGAGTATGTCTTTGGAGCTGCTGGTGACCACCTTGCTTGCTATGTGAAGAAAGCCCATCTGCAGTGAAAATGCTCTGTATAATACTATAAGGATGGATGCATGTCATTGTGCATTTGTCCAAACTCATAGAATGCGCACCACCAAGTATGAACTCTAATGTAAACTGTGGACTTTGGGTGATCATGACATGTCAGTGTAGGTTCATCAGTTGTAACAAATGTCCCACTCTGGTGGGGAACGTTGATCAAGGGGGAGCCTACATGTGCGGAGGGGCAGGGGGTATATGGGAAATCTGTGTACCTTCCTCTCAATTTTGCTGTAAACCTAAAACTGCTCTAAAAAAATAAAGTCTTTAAAAAAAAGAAAAGGAAAGCCCATTCGCCGCAGGCTGAATGAAGCTGAGCGGCAGAAAGAAGCAGAGAGGAAAAGAGGATGAGTCCTAACAGCCAGTGAGTCCTCATTTTTGTGTAAGTTGTGTCTCTGCCTCTTTATCCTAAAGAGTCCTTATTAACACTATTTTTAGTAACTATAATATCATTTACCCAGCACCTGCTAGGAGTCAGACACTGTACTAAGCCATTCAGTACTAATAATAGTGTCATTACTGTTGCTACTTATTAAGGGTTTACAGTTTGCTAACGGCTGTCCATGGATTGTCTCGTCAGCCAATCCAAACGCCACCAGTGAAGCAGATGCTCTCACCTTCATTTTGTGGACGTAGAAACTGAGGCTTCCTGACGTTAAGTACCTTTGTCAAGGTTATGTGGCTAGTGATTAGTACAGCCAGGATATAAACTCAATCTGACACCAAAGCCCGTACCTTAACCCCCACACTATCTGGCTGCAGCATGATTTCAATTTGTTTGCATAAACAATATGTATGCCTGTGTGTGTGTGTGTGTGTGTGTCTGAGAGAGAGAGAGAGAGAGAGAGAGGGAGGGAGAAGGGGAGG